CTTCACTTTCGCCTTCCCTTCTGGAAGAGAGGCAGTCAATCAGAAAAGGTATGTGAGTTGTGTCCACGCGTTTTCGTTTTGGCTGATGAAGGACCGTTAGTTGCTTTATCCCACAATTGTATGAATGGAGCTGATCTTTTCCATTGCATTTCACATAGCCTTGCTTTTCCCGAACGGTGCTCTCGTCCAGGTAGGACTAAAGTTTCGACGTCGCTTAGGTTTTATTAAGATCCCAAACGGAATTCGAACCATGACATTGCAGCGTGTAAGCTCGACACGAGTGCCCTTGGGTCGGTCACAGGGCAGATGTGAATTCCAAGCAATGTCAGGCATTTTTCCATATAACATTCTGTGAAGCAAACAAACGCGATCGACGACATTCGTTTTTTTCGTGAGTGAGTAGGCTTTCGAGACAACCGCTAAATCGGATATGTGAGTTGTGTTTCCCCTATTTCATTTAAGGTGATTTATCATTGTGGGAAAAGTCGACTACTAGTCCTTCATCACCTTAAGCAAAATAGGGCGAACACGCCTCACATATCCGATTTACTGGTACTAATTCAGCAAAGGTATTCCAATTGAATAAGTTTTCGAGGCTATCAGTAGATGTTGAATAAAAGTTTCGGTCAGCCCAATTCGCTTGAGGTGAACGACTGACAATTGAATTTTGCCACAATGAGATGAATGAGTTTTATGCTTTCAGTGAATTTCACATAACTTGGCCTACAAAAATATATTTTCATCCAAGCTGAAGTGGACCGCAATTGTGACCTCGGCCGGGAATCGAACCCGGCCACTACAGCCGCGCCGGTGTGGCAGCCTAGGCTGACTAAAGCTTTTCACCAAAAGCTCTACCAGCCTTCCCATCTCACACGAAAATAAGCTTCTTCTGCAAAAAGAATCTCATCCTATTCTGCCAATTAAAATATCAGTCACTTACCCACAAGGCGAAGTCGGTTCTCAAGGCTACTTGGAACATACTACTCATGCCACCGTGTGATTTGAGTAGTATGCATTCACACCTCTCTGCCTCGCTACAAGAGCTGGGCGATGACAATGCGGGCGGACACGTTGCGTCCAGAGATTTAGAGAACCGGTAATCGGCCAAAATTGACGTAGAAATGATAATAGTTAGGAGGTAAAGTCACTTCGAGAGTAGAGGACGTCTGAAAGCGGTTCTGTGACTACGGGCAGGTGAGTCA